GGTCTCCCACAAGGATCCACAGACGACTCGGTGCTTGCTACAAGCCATGAATAATCAGAAACTACTGAACACATTCTAATAAATGATCGGGCTACCACCGCAATGATTTCAGACCCATGTCACCTACCAAAGTAGCGTGCTTGCATTTAAACAACAGGGTGTCACTACAAACTTGAAATTGTAGAAGATACATTCCACAGTTGTTTCATCCATTTCCGAAGTCTGCCGTGCATTTGAGATACAAAATACCCAGCAGGCTGCTCTGTAGTCACCAGCTTTATTGGAGGTGAGTGGACGTTTCATGGTTAAAATTATTTTAGAAAAAGCAATTAATGTGGGATTTTTGCTATTGTTGCGATTCTTATGACATCATTAAAATATATCACTTTTCCACTAACCGGTCACTATCTTCTTCCTCTTTTATAAGCAATTCTGCTTGTTGATCTCACTTCTTTGTCCAGGTCTTCATAACTAGACAGTGCCTTTTCCCAGGTATTTTATTTCAATTACTCGTTCAAATACTGATGTCAATTTCTATTTTATATCTGGTTGGTTCTTTGCTGACTTACTATTGTTATCTTGGGCTATCAATATTGCGAAGGCCTATGGCATGAAATTTTGGTTTTGATTTTTGACAACAAATGTGAGGCTTTTGGAATATGCCAAATATGCCGAATTAACTTTCACTTATAAACGATCACGTCATTACTTAGAGAAAGGAGTGAAAGCGGTGTAAAATAGAACCACTTAACACAGTACAAAAAAAAGAAAAATACAATGGAATAGACATATTGATAGAATGACGCAAAAGCCTTTTATTGTTTTGTGCTTCAGTAAGTCAATTTCTAGATCAAATTTTTAAGTTATACTTACTAATGCTCAATGCACTTGATCTATTAATAAATCTGGATAACCAGGAATTACAGAATGGGTATATCCAATACTGTGGTGCAAAAACTCATACGATCGGAAAAATAATTTAATTACGAACTGTAAATAGCAGAGTAATTAAACAGGGACTCTGAAATCCCATATGCACTTATGCATAACCAATTTAAGAAATTTAGTTGGTATTTAGAATTTAATTGACATACATATTAATTTTGCTTTATATTGTACATCAAAATAATAAAATTTCCCAAATGCGTACTCGTCAAATAATATATGTAAAATATATGTAATTATCGCCTTAGACAACAAACAATAGATGAGTAATGTCTACTACTCTCAATTTTAAGCTCTTATGTAATTTATAATGTTTCTAGAATTTTGGGTGTTTGTTTAAACATTTAGCACTAATTTCGCGGAGGAGTAACAAAGATCCTTGAAGAGGCCAATGCTCACTGATCGACTAAGTCTGTCTACGTCTACCGGTGTACCGGTGATAACAAACAACATCGGTTATTATAGTTTGAGTAATAAAATTCACGCTTGTACTTTTTTAGTCAGTCTGGCACTTATCTAAGCCGAGATATTATTAGACCAGTATATAAAATAAATCTCGATACAAATATTTGGAAACCTCTATATATTTTATTTTAATTTCAGATAAAAATAAATCTCGCGTACCTGTCCACCTCTGTTTTATAAAAGTAATAATAAAAACTAAAATAAAAGTAAATAAATTGAAAAGTACATATAAAAGTATGTAAAATATTTAATTCCTAATAACCTAATATAAGTAACTAATTTAAATGTTCCAATGTTTAACTCACGTCAAAATTTATAAGTACCACAACTATAGTACATTTGAAAATGATTGATAGTACAAATTTTATAGCAAAGACATCGAGCAAAAAGACAAAAGAGGGAATCTAATCGTTATGAAAAGGAGACCAAAAAAGTGGCCTCTGATGGCGGACATATCCGGAAATGCAAAGGCGCTAAATTTAAATTTTCCGACACTTATTAAGAATAGCTTAGATAAAATATTTTTCAGACGAGAAAGTTTTAATTAAATATTAACGATAATAGTCTAAAATGTGACACAATTGGTAAAAAACTTCAATATAAATAAAATTTCATCTTCTTCCTCTCCTTGCCTTTGTCTACATCTACATTTTTTTTAGTTTTCTCCATTAGTTGGCTCTTCTAACTAATTAAAAAACATATTTACGCCATGCGATACATTTTCATTTAAAATAGCTGTACAAAAGTGTCGTCACAAACAAATTTGAATTAAATCGGAATTAGCTTCACAGTGATCTAGCTCCCTCAGAAAAAAAAAACATTTTGAGGGAACTGATTTTTGTCAAATATTAATTATTATAAATATATTACTTATACATTATATATTATTTTATACACTAATTATAACACTTAACATATTTCTGTGACTGAATTTCATATATAAAAAATGACTGTGGCTATTTCAATTATTTTCAAACAAAGTAATACCATTAATTATTATTATGGGGCCAATCTTCTTCTTCCTATGCCGTCCCCATTAACGGAGGTTGGCGACCACATTTTTAAAAGCTTCTCTGTCTTTTGCAACGTGGAATAATTCGTCTACAGTCATGTTTGTCCAGTCTCGAATATTTCGCAGCCATGACTTCCTCTTTCTACCTATTCCCTTTTTGCCATCGACTCTACCCTGCATGATGACCTGCAGAAGACTATATTTATTATTTCTTAGTATGTGTCCAAGGTATGCAGTCTTGCGTACTTTTATCGTTCTCAACAATTTTTTGACTCGACCCATTCTTCTCAGCACTTCCTCATTGGTGACCCTGGCAGTCCATGGGATCTCAACATTCTCCGGTATATCCAAAGTTCAAAGGCTTCAATCTTTTTAAACTATTTGCGCTTTTAGTGTCCATGTTTCTACCCCGTACAATAATTGCGACCAGACGTAACATTCAACAAACCTCAGTCTCAGCGCAATATTCAGATTTTTGTCACAGAACAATTGTTTGAATTTTAAGAACGCTGCCCTTGCCATTTCTATTCGTACCCGATCTCTTGGTCTGGATCTAATTCTGTGTTGATTTAAGCTCCCAGATATTTATATTTTGTCACTCTCTCTATTTGCTGTCCACCAAGAGTTAGTTGTTCATTATTTATTGGACTCCTTGATACTATCATAAATTTGGTCTTTATCTGTGTTGATGTCAAGTCCCATTTGAATGCATTCACTATTTATTGCATCTAGTAAAGTTTGTAGATCTTCTATACTCTCAGCCATAATTACCGTGTCATCTGCAAATCTCATGGTGTTTATGATTTCTCCACCAATTCTTATTCCCTCTTTTCTTTCCCATAAGGCTTTTCTGAATATGACCTGTGAGTACACGTTGAAAAGCGTCGGAGACAAGACGCATCCTTGCCTAACCCCTCTCGCAATCGGTATATTATTTGTTTCTATATCGTTCACCTTTACTACTGCTTTCTGGTTCCAGTATATAGCCTTAATAAACTCAATGTCTTTTTTGTCTAAATTGATGTTTTTTAATTCATCTATTAACTTCATATGCTGCACTCGGTCAAAGGCCTTCCTAAATGTCTCTGAAGCATACATATGCACTCTTGTTATATTCCCGACATTTCTGCAAGAGTACCGTCAACGCAAATAATGCCTCTCTTGTACCCATGCCTTCTCTGAACCCAAACTGAGTTTCATCTATCTGTTCCTCACATTTCTTATAAATTCGGTTTTGAACAAATTTTCAAAGAATCTTTAAAGGTGGCACATTAGGCATTATCAATCTATAGTCCATTACATGATTTGGATTGTTGTTTTTTGGTAGAGGTAAAATATCGATTTTAAGCCATATGTTGTTTCTATTAGGTAGACGAAGTAAAATTCAAACTACAAGACTTGAGATGGAACCAAAAATTGGTGATACACGGCATGATGGGGTACGGGAAATCCTGCCTCATCCATGACGTCCTGAAAGATGCTAAAGTGAGAGAATATTTCGACAACTATTTATTCTGGGTCAATTTAGGCGATTGTCACAGCAAGGAAGATGTGTGGCAGCCCATGTGGAGGTGAGTAATTCACACGTTTAATATATTTATTGCTTTTGGCACCAGTAACTCGTTTTTTAGTAGAGGAAGAATTTAATTGTTAATGCCAATACAAAGACGACTAATGCAACGGAAAAGGAATATGATATTGGCTACATGGAATGTACAAGGACTTAGAACCAACAAGCAGAAATATTCAAAGAATTAGCGGAAAGAAAAATAGATATATGTATTCTCACCGAGACCAAGAAAAAGGAAAAAGGAAATGAAGAGATAGAAGAATATATACATATATAAAGTTTTTAAAATTACGTTAAGAGATCTGAAACAGTGGAAACACCATTATGAGGTCTTACTGACAGGATAGATGTAAATTCCAAGAGATCTAAATGGAAGAAACATCAGAATATACACAAATAATTGAGATAACCGGAGAGTTAAGCGATGCCTTCAAAAGATCGAAAAACTGTAAAGCAGCAGGACCTGGGGACATCCCAATTGAGTTGGTAAAGTATGGACCAAAAATATTACATGAATGTTGGTTCAACCATTTAACAAATGCTTAAAAGGACAAAATATCCCTGATGATTGGAATGTTGGATACATCAACTCAATATTCAAGAAAGGGGATAAACGCAAATGCTCTAATTATAGGGAAACAACTGTTATTAGCTCAGTGAGGAAGTTGTACCGTCGAATAATAAAAGAAAGAATAGAATCAGAATACGAAGACATAGAAGAACAAAATGGATTTCGTGCAGGAAGATCGTGCACTGATGGTATATTCATTCTGCAGTAGTTAATGGAAAAATGGAAGGCATGGAATCTATCTACCCACCTATTGTTTGTAGATTTAGAGAAGGCATACGATATGGTACCTTTGAAAAAACTGTTTCAAACATTGACGAAATTTTTTGGATTCTTACAAAACTTTATGGTATTCTATACTATTAATAACGTTGGTGATAGTGTATTTAATGATAATTTTATTTGTAGATTGTATACAGCAGCAAGTTCCGTCGTAGAAACGAAAACCTCTCACTGCCTCGATGATGTAGACGCCTTAAAAGACTTACTAATAAAATTATTTTTGGAAAATAGACTGAAGAATTCACTAATCATTTTAGACGATGCTTGTAAAACGGAAGTATTAACATATTTCGACATTAAAACTAAGACTGTAATTACCACTCAAAATAAGAGCATATTAGTAGGAGACAATGTGAAATTTGTAGAGGTAAGTGATATCTAAAAGTTGACAGTTAAAGATATATATTTTTATGTATTTGTATTATAGTTAAGTAATAAAAGAATCCATTTATGAGCAAAATTTAACCCTACATCTCAAAAATTACTTATTTTTCTTCCTGTCATCAAATCTCACTGTTAATTTTGAGAAATGCCAGTTTTGCAGATCTTTATTGCAATTCCTTGGATTTGTAGTGGATGATCAAGAGATAAGAACTGATCCTGGTAAGGTCCAGTCTATTTTGGAATACCTTGCACCCACAAATACAATCCAGATACGTCAGTTGATTGGTTTAATTGGATATTACCGTAGGTTCTTAGACAATTTTGCTACTATTTGCAGTCCCATTTCTGTCTTGCTCAAAGACAAAAAACTTACATCGGTCAAACTGGTAGAAACTTTGATAAACGAATAGCAGAACATAAAAGGGCTTTCAAGAATAGAAAAACAGATTCGACATACGCACTTCACCTTCTAGATCATAATCATTCTTTTAATGACAAATTTAGAATTTTTCACATTCAAAATAAAGGCCTTAAGCTATCTTTGTTAGAATCTATGGAAATCAACAAATTAAAAAACACAGATATAATTCTGAATGACCAACTTGAGACAAACAGTTCTCCCTCCTCAACCTATTTCATTAGAGACTATAAATTTGTAAACCCAAGCCAAAAATAGATCACTTGAGAAAGGCAATCAGCCGAAACAGCTGTAGTGATAAGAGTTAAAATAAATTTTGTGGAAGTTTGAAAACAAAGTTTTCAGTGTTTTATTGTCTTGATTTTTCCAAGCATTTCTATCTTGCTTGTGATGCAAGTGACTCTGGTGTGGGTGGTATTTTATTTCAAAAAGATTATGGATTAGAACATCCTACTGCTTACTTTAGCAAAACTTTAAAAGAGGTCAGCGAAAGTATACAACTACTGAGAAAGATTTGTTAGCAGTTTTGTTATCAATTGAAAAATTTAGGTGCTATATTGAAGGTAGTAATGATTTTACTGTTATTACTGATCACTCCTCATTAACGTGGTTATATAGCATGAAGAATCCTTCTCCTAGAAATGCCAGAATGGAAAAGTTTTGTTCCTTCTCCACATAGGAAGCAAATTTTGCAAATCTATCATGATGATCTTACAGCTGCTCATTTAGGTGTCTTTAAAACCCTCTCTAGGATTTCAGAATTTTATTACTGGTCTAAAATGAGATCTTCTGTTGTGAACTATGTTCATAAATGTAAAGTTCGTGCTTCTTGCAAGCCTATTAACTTACCTCGAGCTAGTCTTATGGGACAATATCGTGATAATAATATTTCTTTTCAGATTTTATCTGCTGATTTACTAGGTCCATATCCTAGATCTAAAAATGGAAATCGTTATCTTTTAGTTGGTTACTGGTTTCCAAAGTTCATGTTTGTACATCCTTTGCTATTATTGTACTTATAAAGCTATTGTCAAGTTTATTGAAAATCAAGTTTTTCTAATTTTTGGTGTACCACAGATCTTTGCAGTTGATAATCTAATATTATATGAATGCCATTCTTGATCTTAAATATTGTTTTACGATGATTTTTGTGATTTTAGAGTAGAATAACTGAATAACAATGTCCCGATTAACTAATGTTGATGATTATCCGCCATTGAGCATGAAAAATATTAACTTTTAAATCTTACACTCTCGCAAAACACAATATGACTTTAATATTTACAGATCAAAACAGGTTTTTCCTCTAATGAATCATTGGAACTGTTCAAAAAGTCATTGGATGTCAGACGCGACCTACCGGTAGCCGCTGAAGAAATTCACCAAATTTGTCGAGGTCATCCAATGCGCATATCGCTCATAGGATCTTACCTCAACGAAAATGCCGAAGAAGCCTTGCACGGGGACCATATTTGGCAGTACATCAAAGATCAATTCCTTAACGGACAATATCGGTAAGTGAGCAAGCAGAGAGAACAATAAATAGAGCAAAAAGAAATAAATATAGTATTGTATGTGGTGTTACTAGGTGCTTTACACTTAGAAATTCAATTACTTATAGTTGGGAATCAAATTTGTAGGCAGTAAATTCTCCGAACTGTGAATGCGATAAAGCGACAACATCGTTGCCAGTTTGTGATGATAGATATTCTAGCAATTTATAATTTAATCATTGACATGCATCAAAATTCTCATATTAATGATCGTTTTGTATTTTTTAAGGTATCTAATAAACTGTATTTAATAGCATCAATATTTATGTATATATTTATATACAATACCTATATATAGAAAACATCTAAAGTACGATAATATTCTTTGTAAAAGTCATACATGACAACATCGTATTCTAGGACCGGTAGAAAGGAATAGTAGATCAACGTTGTCATAATATAGAGAGAGATAAATTACTCATTGTTTTCCTAGCTTAGCATTCAGTAGCATATCGTTCACACTGTTGAAGTGAATTTTAAAAATTAATCTTGATATAATATGATATGAGACTTATATTTAACTTTTGAAGTGAATACTTCTTATCACAAAAAAACACTTCTCAAAAAACTACTTTCAAATTCCATAATTTTGTACAAAAATACGAGACAAAGAAACTTTCTATGACATTTAATGACAAACTATAACTTTTTTTAATGACATTTTTTGTTTGTTTTAAAAATTACTCGAAAAGGCAGGTAGGAGATTTACCCTGCTGTTATTTCAATGAAAGGTTTCTTTTCATTGGAATTACTTATATTTTAAATATACTTATTTACATGAATCGGAAAATCCAATTCTGAATTTGCAAATTACATGAAGTGAACTTTTACTTTTAGTGAACATGGAAACACTCACATATATATTATAATTAAATAAAATAAATCGAATCGAATATACGTAATATATGTAAGTATTCATTTTTTAAGAGCAAAGTATATTGGTGCAAAACGTATTTTAGTTTGAAAACTACGTTAACAAAATAGACTTACTTACATAAGAAAGTAATAACATTTGATAAAATGGTTCGACCTCCACAGGAAGTCAAAATATTAATCATCGTATGAAGGCGACTCGTCGGCTGATGAAGAGCTATCGCGATCACCATTATTTACATTGATAATTAATGGTTCAACCGAAATGTCCACTCTTGCGTCTAAGTCCCACATTCTATCTTCTTCTTTTATAGTGTGTCTTATACAATTTTTCCAAGACTCGGGTGTCACATTTTTTATGGCAATAGCTATCAAGCACTTCACCTTCTCCATTTTAAAATTCAAGTTTTCTCTTGCCACTTGGTTTTTTTTATGAACCTATATAAGCTCGATAGAGTTTAGCTCACAATGATAAGGAAGTAGATAGTCTATAGGTCTTTGAGACCAACCCCTAAATTGCATCCCCTAAAATCGCAACCCTTGGTTGCAAATGCCAAACGGCTTAACGTAGGATGACGTACGAGGGCTCATTGGAAAGGGGATGAAAAATGGGGTTGAATGAAATATGTGCCGTGCGCATCTGAGCATGCCAAAAGGTCATTATTGGGTATCTTCGTTTCTATTGGTCCGATTGGGCGTACGAGGGCTCGTTGGAACGGGGATGACAAATGGGGTTGAATGAAATATGTGCCGTGCACATCGGAGCATGCCGAAAGGGCATTATTAAGTATCTTCGTTTCTATTGGTCCGATTGTGACGTACGAGGGGTCGTTGGAACGGGAGGAGGTAACGAATACGTTGAGTCAAAACACAAATGTGGCGGCGTTGCCAAATGAGCGCTAAAACGTATCTTCGTTGCTATTGGCCTGATTTTGACGTATGAGGTGTCAAATGAAAGCGTTGGTGACACATACAGAAGCCATGTCAACGCTCGAACATTCTTCTTCTTTTCCGTACAGTGCCTAAGAGAACGTCGACGCAGGACGTCACAGTTATGTGACATTCGACACAGAACATAAAATGTCACGTAAAATGACGTGACATTCGACGCAGGACTTGACATTCAACGTAGAATGTGAAATGTCGCGTGAATAACGTGAGATTCGGCGCAGGAGGTGACAGTTATGTGACATTCGACGGAGGACGTGACAGTTTGTCTAAGAGAACGTGACATTAGACACAGAACGTGGCAGTCAACGCAGGACGTGACAGTTATGTGACATTCGACACAGAACGTAAAATATCACGTGAAGTGACGTGACATTCGACGCAGGACGTGACAGTTATGTGACATTCAACACAGAACGTAAAATGTCACGTGAAATGACGTGACATTCGACGCAGGACGTGACAGTTTTGTGACATTCAACACAAAACGTAAAATGTTTTTGTTGGCGATGTTGGAAGGCGATGTACAATTATGTTGTTTGCAGGAGCCATTTCATCGACTGCATATTTCTTGAAAACGGGTATATGTATCCTCGTGAGGTTTAATAATTGTACTTTCAACATGTTGTCATCGAATAGTATATTTTTTTGAGAGAGCCAGTTGATTATTTCACCTTTTCGCCAGGCAGGTGTTGGTGATGGCTCCAACCGTCGACTGTGGTATGACGCATTGTCCATAACAACGACAGAATTTGCTTCAAGGTTTGGTAGAATATTTAAAAAATAACCTTCGAACTTTGAGCGTCCATTTCCTCATGGTAATCGTTGGTTTTCCTTGGATTCGAATAGTAACAAGCCGTTGTCCAAAAAAACCGAATCGCTGCCTATATGTGTTATGAGTCTCCGTCCATTACCCACTGGTGTTTTTAAACCTAATGAAAGCTCTTCAATGAAGGCTTGTCGACGACATTTAATTTCCAAATCTTGCCACACCTTTGAGATAGTATGACCTTGATTTAGCCAAGTTTCATCTAAATAGTATACTTTTCGTCCTTCACGACGATACTCTCGGATTTTTTGTAAGTAATTTCTCCGCCACAAAACAATTTCATTTTTTTCTAAAAGAACACTATTCCTGCTTCTTTCATATATTTAATATTCATTTGTTCTAATCTTCGCAATAAAACACGTCGTGATATTTTGGGTATTGAATTATCGGAATTTATTTCAACTTCAACTTTCTTTAAGGTTGGATTTTGTTCCGAAAAAATAAAGCACGAATTTCCTCCGAATAGCATATTTGGTATGATCTTCAAGCTGGATGCGTTTTCTACCTCTGGTTTCAATGGTTTTCAACAGGTTCATCATCCAATTTGCCTTCACTTTGTTTAAAATTGTTTACAATTCTGTATACACTTCTCGTCGACACTTTAGTCAAATCACTACACAGGGTAACTACATCGTTAACCAACATACTTTTATTTCTTTCACGGAGTCCACAATACACATTGAATATAATAGTTTTTCCTCCCTTCGAAAAATTTGGACGTCGTTTACTTTTACTGCTTTCACTTTCCATAATACCCAACAACACTAAAATACTTGTTCGCTGCTTAGATAATCTAATCGATATGTGAGTCGTGTCCTGCGGTGGGGCCACGATGAGTAGAATACTATTTTGCTGACTTAACGTTGCATAGCAACGACTAATAGAATCGATGGTTGCTAGGCAACGTGACGTCAGCAAAATAGTATTCTACTCATCGTCATCCCACCTAGTCTAAGAGCCAGTGGGCGGCTACCTATATGTATTTGACGATACCTGGATTTTTGTACAGTGAGACCCCTATACCTACTGTACATGAGATAGAGAGTCACTAAGCTCCAGGTGGCCGACTTGGCGGGCGTTCAGGTAAGACAGGTATCGATTTTTGGCCAATTTTATAAGTATTTGACGACGTCTGCCGCTTTGAAATTTGAAAATATATTAATATTATTATCGGAAAATAACAATGGCAGACCATTATCGCGCGGTTTTCATTGCGGCAGACAATTTTGAAAGTGCTCAAAAAAATAAAATTTTCAAAGTAATTGACCAGATCTGCCATTAATATATTTCATTTATTAGGGTCTTAAAAACTTATACTGATCATGGCAGACGTCTTCATGGTGGACATACTTCAGTAGACAAGAAAATCTTAGATATTATCCGGTCAGATGTATCTGTATGACGTTCCCTGTTTCATATCAATATCATTTACGTTCTTACTGTATTCATAGCAATTAATACTTCATTTTGCAAATTATGGACTAAAATTTAGAAATTTGATGATAAAATAGTCAATTTATTTGATTTTTTTTTTTTTAATATATTCACGACAAAATTGAAAAAAATTAATCATAAATTACAAAAAATATTTTCTTTTATTGATTTGAATTTTTATTCATCTTCATCGGAATCATTTGTCTCCAATTGGGACTCCTCTTCATCAACCTGTGATTCGGAATCTGTAAAAATAAAGCATAAATTATTAAATAAAAGTCAATCGTAAATTGATCTGAACACATTCGGTAAAAGAATTAATTATTATGAACTTATACAGGAACTTGGTGATTAAATCACTGACAGAAGTTGGAGTTGATCTCCTTCAAACCATTTGAATGTAAATTTCTCGTCTTGCTCTATCCAACCAAACTCTAATGGATCCAATGTCGTAGGTTCATTTTTCCAAATTGTAGAAATATAATGCGCTCTCAGAAGTTGTTGATAAAGAAATACCTGTTGTAACTGGTCCTCTGTCAAATTTTCTTTACAAAGAGTAGCAAATGCTTCTTGAACTTCTGTATTTTTCTTCAATAAGGTAAAAAGGTCTTCTTTTCCCTTTATTAAAGAAAGCCGGATTGAAATCACATCCTGTGAACGCATGGAAGCCGATTAAGCTTTTGGCTAGCAATTCATCAAGCTCTTTGTAAATTTTTGTGATGTGAATATACCTTTCCTTATTTCCGGTGCCATTGAGCATCCAAACATTAGAATTGGCATGTTGTAATCGTGTCATATTACCAATCAGTATAATTAAAATATCAGTATCAGAGGCTCTAATAACAATATTCGACTGCTCTGTGATATTGCAAGCATGATACACAATCTTAGTATTAGCTTCTTCATGTGAGGTACAACATAAACTTACCTTGTCATCTACAATTTGATATGATTGACAAGTTCAGAAATTTATGAAAATTTGTGGGTTACCCAAAAATGATTTCATTTCCTCACTAGACCAGTGTTTTGTAAAAAAATCTACCAAAGCTGAGTTGTTAAATGTTGCACAACATAAACATAAATATGTTGTTGACGAAATGGCTCTTAGTCAAGGAGTTCTTGTTCATCGATTACCACCATATCGTTGCGAGCTGAATCCAATTGAATTTAATTGAATGTCGGAATACTAGATTTAAATTATGTGATGTTAAAGTATTATTCGATGAAGCTATACGTAACGTTACCGCAGACAACTGGCGAAAGTGCATCGGTCACGTGGAGAAAATATAAAATAAGATGTGGGATGTAGATATACAGGTAGATGTAATTATGGAACCGATTATAGTCCAACTTGATGACGAGAGCGATGATTCGGATAATTCTGATTTTGAGTAAGAGTAAGTTTTGTAATTTGAGCCATTTCTTGAGTACATTACAAGTGTGTTTCACAATTAATTTGCCACAATTAATTGTGACAAACAAAGTTTGGCACGATTTAAATATTAAAAACATTCGACAAGCATAGTAGCCAGTCACTGCCTGCCCTACCATTATGGCTGAGTTTTTTTATACTCAGAATGTGTGTTTTATTTATCCATATATAAATAAACCTGTCAGGCATTGTCTTTTTCAAGACAATGCCCAAAATAGAGCGTATCGGCCAAACATTCGCAATATTGGGCAATATTGCGTAATGTTTGAACACCAAATTAATAAACATGGAAAATGCACATAGTTGCTATTACGATATTTCCCTTGTTTCCCTTTATTTATTTGGTACCGAAGACGACACTAGCCAAAACTGCATCTTTCACACGCAGAAAGAAGAAGAAAATATGTGAAATTTAGATATACAGATAATAAATGAAATATATTAATGGCAGATCTGGTCAATTACTTTAAAAATTTTATTTTTTTGAGCACTTTTAAGATTGTCTGCCGCAATGAAAACCGCGCGATAATGGTCTGCCATTGTTGTTTTTCCGATAATAATATTAATATATTTTCAAATTTCAAAGCGGCAGACGTCGTCAAATACTTATAAAATTGGCCAAAAATCGATACCTGTCTTACTTGAACGCCCGCCAAGTCGGCCACCTGGAGCTTAGTGACTCTCCATCTCATGTACAGTAGGTATAGGGGTCTCACTGTACAAAAATCCAGGTATCGTCAAATACATATAGGTAGCCGCCCACTGGCTCTTATGACTAACCACTGTTTACTTCGATAGCAAAACAACTGAATCCCTGAGTAGCCGACTTCACCGACTATCGCGGTTTTAGGGAGGTATAACTATTACCTTCTAAACTAATATTATTATTTATTGTAATTAACTCAAATTTATAAAACAATAATAGAAAGTATTGGGTTGTACGGCGATGTAGTATATCTTTTCTAAGTAAAAATATTAAGAGAATAAAAGTTTTGATTCTAAAAGTATGTCGAGTGGGAATAAAAAAAATTGAATTTATTAAACGATCACTGAAAGACGTATGTGGCGTCCTTCATGATTTTTAGTGGCGAATTTAGATTTCTCGTCCCAAAAAACTCCAGCTTACCAAATTTCGTGTTGTTATCCCATGCCTGTCACGAAATATTCAAAAATAAAAGTTTAACTTTGACACCCTTTATTTTGGTTATTATCAACTTTCGTACCAAAGTAAGTTAGTTTAAATTGGCCTATTTTAATCTCAGGAATCTAAGATTAAGTTATGGCCATTCGTTACCAAACAAATCATATTAAAATTATAATTATAAATAGGTACATATTTATTTAATACAAGTAGCTTTGTCGTAACTTCTTATCACATTTTTCGTACGCCATTGGAAGACCTACAATAGCGATGAACCGTCACTATTACTTCCAAGAATTTACTGCCTAGATTGCTGGATTCTGTTTATAGTATATTTCAATTCATTGTGATAAAAACTCACTTTTTATTGCAGTCGAAAAAGCTTCTGACAATGTACGATCAACTAAACTCTAGAGAAAAAAATAAAAATTAAATAAAAGGCTTTCACGTTTGTTTTAGACTGAACGAATATACAAACCCTAACCCTAAAGACTTCTATGAAATCATCGATAAATGCATCGAAACACTACTAACAGACGATCTCAAAGAACTCTACAAAGACCTCGCAATATTCGAACAAGATGTGAATATTCCTTCTGAAGTACTACAAATCCTTTGGAACAAAACCTCGAACGAAGTTCGTAATATTATGAGCACTTTGGCCGGGAAATCGCTAGTCGTAAGGTTTTTTCACACTGATCTAAACATTTACATTTATGGCATCCATGATATCTATTTAAGTTACCTGAAGGAAGTTACTAAGGAAAATAGGAAGATTTTACATAGGAAATTATTGACAGGGTAAGTAAAATTGTTTTTTTACACAAAAGTGCTATTGCAGAGACAAAAACTATGTTTTTCCATTGATAGGTACGACAAAATTACAAATTCTGATTACACAAAGCTACCCGACGACAACTATACCCTCCAGTTCATTGGATACCACATGTTTCACGGCGAAGAATTCGAGAAGTTCAAAGAATTCCTTAATTTGAACTTTCTGGAACTTAAAATCAAAGCAGTAGGCACCGAAGACGTCTTGAGAGATATGGACAAGTACAGAAATTACATAACGAGAAAAGAAAATCATGTGGAAGAGAAACTTAGACAGTACAAGGATTTCATCAAACGGTGCGGTGGACATTTGTACAGCTACATGCAGACGAACATCGTTCAGTATGCTTTGAAGGAAAACAAGGACAGCTATGTCTTTAAGGATGCCATGAACATAGCCAAAACGTCTCCACATCTTTATTTTCAACTTCAGTGAGTACATTATTTCACTTATTATTGCTTTTATACTTGTTACTATATGATATTACACTTATTATTACTTTTAAACTTATAAATATATCATATTGCGCTTATCACTTCACTTATTACCATTTCTGAACTTATTACTGTATTAAAGTGCGTACGTCACTATTTTAATTACACTTATTATTACTTTTAAACTTATTAATATATAATATTGCGCTTATCACTACACCTATTACCATTTTGACTTATTACTATATTAAAGTGCGTACATTACTATTTTAATTACACTTATTATTACTTTTAAACTTATAAATATATCATATTGCGCTTATCACTTCACTTATTACCATTTCTGAACTTATTACTGTATTAAAGTGCGTACGTCACTATTTTAATTACACTTATTATTACTTTTAAACTTATTAATATATAATATTGCGCTTATCACTACACCTATTACCATTTTTGACTTATTACTATATTAAATGCATTTATTAATTAATTATATTATTACTATATTATATCACTTCACTTATTACCATTTCTGAACTTATTACTGTATTAAAGTGCGTACGTCACTATTTTAATTGCACTTATTTTACTTTTAAACTTATTAATATATAATATTGCGCTTACACTACACCTATTGCCATTTTTGACTTATTACTATATTAAAGTGCGTACATTACTATTTTAATTACACTAATTATTACTGTTAAAGTTATAATATATCATATTGCGCTTATCACTTCATTATTAAAATTTCTGAACTTATTACTGTATTAAAGTGCGTACGTCACTATTTTAATTACACTTATTATTACTTTTAAATTTATTAATATATAATATTGCGCTTATCACTACACCTATTACCATTTTTGACTTATTACTATATTAAAGTGCGTACATTACTATTTTAATTACACTAATTATTACTTTTAAATTTATAAATATATCATATTACGCTTATCACTTCACTTATTACCATTTCTGATCTTATTACTGTATTAAAGTGCGTACGTCACTATTTTAATGACACTTATTATTACTTTTAAACTTATTAATATATAATATTGCGCTTATCACTACACCTATTGCCATTTTTGACTTATTACTATATTAAAGTGCGTACATTACTATTTTAATTACACTATTATTACTTTTAAAGTTATAAATATATCATATTGCGCTTATCACTTCACTTATTACCATTTCTGGAATTATTACTGTATTAAAGTGCGTACGTCACTATTTTAATGACACTTATTATTACTTTTAAACTAATTAATACATAATATTGCGCTTATCACTACACCTAGTACCATTTTTGACTTATTACTATATTAATCATTATTAATTAATTAATTATTACTATATTATCACTTCACTTATTACCATTTCTGAACTTATTACTGTATTAATAGTGCGTACGTCACTATTTTAATTGCACTTATTTTACTTTTAAAACTTATTAATATATAATATTGCGCTTATCACTACACCTATTGCCATTTTGACTTATTACTATATTAAAGTGCGTACATTACTATTTTAATTACACTAATTATTACTGTTAAAGTTATAAATATATCATATTGCGCTTATCACTTCATTTATTAAAATTTCTGAACTTATTACTGTATTAAAGTGCGTACGTCACTATTTTAATTACACTTATTATTACTTTTAAACTTATTAATATATAATATTGCGCTTATCACTACACCTATTACCATTTTGACTTATTACTATATTAAGTGCGTACATTACTATTTTAATTACACTATTATTACTTTTAAATTTATAAATTATCATATTACGCTTATCACTTCACTTATTACCATTTCTGATCTTATTACTGTATTAAAGTGCGTACTACTATTTAATGACACTTATTATTACTTTTAAATTATTAATATATCATATTACGCTTACCACTTATCATTATATTATATTGCACATGTTATCACTTTTTGCACTTATTACCATATTATTTAGCGTTTATTTTTCGACTTTTTCCATACGTATTCAGTATTTACAAACATTGTAATATGTATAATAAACCATAATTGAAGTTATCTGTAATGCAAGTCAAGTTTATCATATTTTTTTGTCCAGGAAATCTTGTGAAGAACTTGATTTGATTCAAAACATTCCTATTAAAGATGACATCCACTCTGCCTGTTACGTAGATAGTCCAAATCGCATACTTATTGGTACTGTTAAGGGCAACATCAAACTTTTTTATGAACGAAGTGTCACAGAGATATCTAACTTCGTGGGCCACGCTGGCGCAATCACTAATTTGATTATTAGTCCTGATAAGAGATACTTTCTGTCCATTTCTATCGACAGTACTATTAAGCTGTGGAAGTTCGCTCCTGATAGTTCCAGGAACAGTCGAGATTTTTCGAATGGATTTGAAAAGGGATTGATAGAAGCGGTCGGTGAGTATAATTTCACTTTTTTTTATATTTATCACTGGCTGTAATTCAAAAGATATTGACAAATGTGTGAGGTTGTAAATGTTTAGAGTCTCACTCAGGATGAGTTTTCTCTACTTTATTTTAAAAAATCATACCTTAGCTATCTACAGTTTTACTAAATACAGAACCACTTGCACATTCACTAAAATCCGACTACAATACCAGTCTAGTCTATATATAAGAACGTTATAAAGATATTATCTGCTAAACAGCACACGAAACACAATTTTCAATACTTGGCTGCTATATACGTCATCTTCCGGTTTTCCCAAACAAAGGTGTACTTTCTAGCAAATTTTTAGCAAAAATCCAAATTTTATGTGTAAGAATAAGGTAAAAATGTTATTTGCTGAGATCACACGAAAAAAAAAACAATATTTTCAATATATGACAGCTATATACGTTGTTTCCCTGTTTCGCAAACAAATTTGTGTATTTTCTAGCAAATATTTAACAAAAATCCAAATTGTATGTGTTAGAATATGATAAAAAGTTATTTGCTGAGATTCGCACGAAGCTAACACAATTTTCAATATTTGACTGCTATATACGTCACATTCCGTGTTTCCCAAAGAAATTGGTGTATTTTCTAGAAAATTATTAACAAAAATCCAAAATGTACGTGTAAAAATTAGAAAAAAATATTCTGTGCTAAACAACACACCAAATAAACATAATTTTCAATATTTGACTGCTATGTACGTCATCTTCCGCGTTTCCCCAAAAAAATTGGTGTATTTTTTATCAAATTTGTAGCAAAAATCTAAGTCGTAACATAAGATAAAAATGTTATGTGCTAAACAACACATAAAATAAACTATTTTCAATATTTGACTGCTATATACGTCATCTTCCGCTTTTCCTAAAGAAATTTGTGTATTTTCTAGCAAATATTTAACAAAAATCCAAATTGTATGTGTTAGAATATGATAAAACAGTTATTTGCTGAGATTCGCACGAAGCTAACACAATTTTCAATATTTGACTGCTATATACGTCACATTCTGTGTTTCCTAAAGAAATTGGTGTATTTTCTAGAAAATTATTAACAAAATCCAAAATGTACGTGTAATAATTAGAAAAAAATATTCTGTGCTAAACAACACACCAAATAAAACATAATTTTCAATATTTGACTGCTATGTACGTCATCTTCCGCGTTTCCCCAAAAAAATTGGTGTATTTTTTATCAAATTTGTAGCAAAAATCTAAATCGTAACATAAGATAAAAATGTGTAACGATGAGTCCAAGCCATCACCGTTAAAGCAGCGTGCGCGCGAACCAACCCATGAAGTAGGAGTGTATCGACAGTAGAAAGGGCAAAACTAATTACCAAGCTCCGCTATATAAACCGCAACATTTCCTCATAGAGGCAGAATCGACAGGTGTTGACTGAAGGTTCTCTTCTTCCCTACCCCAGCTTGTGGACGTGTTGAGTTCACAAGTTGTTCCGTTCCATACCGCCGTTACCCGAAGAGCGTGTTGAGCTCTTCATTACCCGTACTCTGAAGCAGTCGTGTTGAGACTGTCGAGGAGTGTCCCATTAACCCGAATCACTTAAGGAACGTGTTGAGTTCCTTTCCTTTCTTTCTTTGTACCTATCGTCCGCTGTTATTAAATCGATACAACGTTCTCGTAAAATTTCAAATACACACTCGCTTGTCGATAAGACTAATTTCATATGACAAGGTCAAACTTAATTTGAATAAATAGGCCAGGTACTGAGAAGACTAAACCAAATAAAGTTTTATTTTTATTTTGAACTCTGTCTCTGACTGTCCAAAAGCTACCCGGATAGTGACTCCTACGAGAGGACATCACAAATGTTATGTGCTAAACACATAAAATAAACTATTTTCAATATTTGACTGCTATATACGTCATCGTCCGCTTTTCCTAAAGAAATTTGTGTATTTTCTAGCAAATTTTTAACAACAATCCAAGTTCTATGTATAAAAAATAAGATAAAAATGTAATTAGCCAAATAACACACGAAATAAATATAATTTTCAATATTTGACTGTTTTATAAGTCATCTTCCTGCGTTTTTCATCAAAATTTGTTATTTTCTTAACAAAAAGCCAAATTATATGTGTAAAAATAAGGTAAAAATGTTAGTTGCTAAGAATCTCACGAAACAAGCTTAACTTTTAATATTTGACTGCTATACACTGTACATTTTCTAGCCAATTCTACGTGCATACATGACACAATACAAAGACAATTTTCAATATATCATTGCAATATATATTTTTTGTTTATGTTCGTAGTTTCTCCAAAAAATAAACAACCCCATTGGCTGGACATCCACACAGCCGATCGCGGCCAAATAAAACCAAGTAAAACGTTCAAAGCTGAAGACGGTGATGATGCTTTAATATCTGCTGCCTTTCACACCGAATTTCCGGATGTATTTCGAATAGCGACGTCGAGCAGGAAGGGGAAGGTATTCATTTGGGATTTGCTTGCAGAGAAACCTGTTCTTTTGTATAGCACCGCTCCAAGGGGCATTCCAGTCCCGTCACTTCTGTATTCCAATGTTGAAGGTAAGAACATAGTTCGGTGCATTCTTTTATTTCATTGAGGTTTGTTCGTAAAATAAGGTCCTGTTAGAGCTGCGAGAACAGCTTTTATACGTGATTATGTAATTCATGTGATTCAAATATATATGCCCACAACAGATGCCCCAGATGAAGACATTGATGAAATATATAACAACATAGAAAACATACTGAAGAAAATACCACAAAAAGAGCCAGTATATATTATTGGAGACTTTAACGCCAAAGTGGGAAAAACGGATAATGAACCACATTTAAGAGGTATTGTTGGGTCATTTGGCTTGGGCATTAGAAACAACAGAGGAGAACGTCTTCTACCGTTTGTCAGTGAAAATAATTTAGTGATAACAAATACCCTTTATAAAACACCACCCAAGAAGGCTCTCAACATGGACTAGTCCAAATAAAGAACACAAAAATCAAATCGATTACATACTCGTGCGGAAAAGATGGAAAACCTCAATAACAAATGTAAAAGCTATGCTGGAGCATATTGTGGATCAGATCATAAACTACTAAAAATGAACTGCAGGCTCAGACTACACACAACTAGAAAAATACATCAGACAAAACAGATAAGGGTAAGTAATGCAGAAGAATTCCAGATGAAACTGATAAGCAAAGAAAAACCACAAGTATTAGAAGACACAAATAAAACGTGGAATGGAATAAAAAGCTGGATTATATTCAGTGGAAAGAGTGCACATCGCGTAAAACCCAAAAGAACAAACATTGGATGTCAGGGGAAGCACTAGAGTTAGTGGAAAAAGAAGAGCTATGCTACAACATATCTCAAAAACAGGAAGCAACACTCAAGAAATAGCGGAGATAAACAGGAAAATAAAATGTATGTGCATCAGAGATAAAAACAACCATATAAATAACGTGTGTCAAGAACTGGAGCAACATGCAAACCGCCATGAAAGTCATGAACTATTTAAAAAATATTTAGCCCGAGAGTTCAAGCCACAACTTCAAGCCATTCAAGACTCTAATGGAGAAGTAAAAACCGACATAGAGAGCATCGAAGAGACCTGGAAAAATTACTGCTCAGAATTATACAAAGACACTTCAAAAGATGACGCATCAGTCTCAGAACACAAAAAACATGCAATCAGAGAGGCTGAACCAATCATTTTACGAGCAGAAGTAGAGAAGGCTCTTAACCAACTAAGAAACAAAAAAACTCCAGGAATCGATGGCATAACAGCGGAGACTCTAAAAGCAATAGGCGAAATTGGCGTAGATGTAATGCTGGATATGTGCAACATGATATGGATCACAGGTGAATGGCCTGATGAGTGGTGTGAATCAACCTTGATCCCTATCCATAAAAAAGGATCACTAACCACACGCAGCAATTACAGAACCGTTGCCCTTATCCCTCATGCAAGCAAAATCCTGCTACATATAATCAATGAACGGCTAAAGAACTTTCTACTTCCAGAGATAGCCGAAGAACAATGTGGATTTGTACCAGGAAAGGGAACGCGTGAGCAAATACTCAACACCAGACAGATAGTAGATAAAGCGAGAGAACATAACATACCAATGTTGCTCTGTTTTGTAGATTACACAAATCTTTTGATTCAGTAAAATGGGATCCTCTCTGGAGTATAATGGAAAATATGGGAGTACCTAACCACTTAGTTAACCTAATAAGAAATCTGTATAATAAAAAACTCAGCCAAAGTTAAAGTACATGGAATATATTCAAATGCATTCAAAACAGAGAAAGGAACTAGACAAGGTTGCATACTATCACCATTATTGTACAACATATATTCTGAATATATAATGAGAAAAGTACTAGATGAATGGGATGGAGGAATCACTATAGGAGGCAGAAAAATCAGTAACCTGCGATACGCAGATGACACACTTATACTAGCAGCGAATGAAGTCGAAATGATTACCATCATCGAACGGCTAAGCCGAATAAGTGAAGAATTCGGACTTCAAATCAACACCAGAAAAACAAAAATAATGATTGTAGACAGAGCAAATAATAATCTACCGCATATACGCCAAATAGGGATTTTCGAAGTAGTTGACAGATTTGTATACTTGGGCTCTCTGATAACCAACAATGGTGATTGTTCCTCAGAAATCAAACGTAGACTAGGAATGGCCCGAACCGCAACTGCTAAATTAATTAAAATATGGAAAGACCGAACAATAACAAGGAATACTAAGCTTAGGTTGGTCAATGCCCTTATTTTTCCCATTGCTACATATGCAGCTGAAACATGGACTCTCAAAAAAATCGATAGGAGTAAGATCGAAGCCTTCGAAATGTGGGTATATAGAAGAATTCTACGCGTGTCCTGGACAGAACATAGAACCAACCTGTCAATTCTGGAAGAGCTTCATATAAAAGACAGGCTACTAAAAAAAGTAAACCAAGCATACCTGACTTACTTCGGCCACATAGCTAGAAGAACGGGCACCATGGAACTATTGGTAGTAGAAGGTAAGGTAGAAGGCCGAAGACCAAGAGGAAGATCTCCAATACGATGGGTGGACCAAATGAAGAGTTTGGTGGGAAAATCCCTACATGAAGCCGTCCATATGGCACAAGATCGCAGTCAATGGAGACAGCAGACTAATAATATTTAGGGTGTCACTACGCCCTCACAAGGGCTAAAGGATTGAGGAGGAGGATGTAATTCATCTTGTATGTATTGATGAAAATACGGAGACTTTGTTTTATGAACAAATTTCGTAATAGCAGTCAGTTGGTTCTTTTCTCATGCTTCTTTATTCAATATATACGGCCTAACTCAAAACAGTCATCAGTGTATGAATCAATTACCGTTCTTCGGCATATTGCTGTCTTTGATATATTCTCTTATAAAGGCAAGCGGTTTATTTTTATGATCTGTGTGACAAGAACATACATGAGTGAAGCACCAATGGATGGACTGTATAAAGTTGTACTTTTATGTGAATAAAATTGGATTTATGAACATCTCTTGATCGGTGTTATCTAATTTCTTTATTATTTTTTAACTTAGGCAAAGAATCTGTCATCTTCAGTTGCGAAGACACTATTTTCATTCACTCAGTAATCAATGACACGCTTCAGTCGCTACACACGTTGCATAACACAGACCAATGCAACTCTATATTCTTCTACGATAGCAAATATATCGTTGTCGGTGAGAAAAGTATAACGATGTGGAGTGAACACAAGAAAAAGGTTCTTTTTAAAAATAAAGAAGTAGAGAAAAACGTTTGCTCGACCCTGACGAATGATAACCAGTATTTGGTAGTTAGTACCGATCAGAATTTTGTGTATATATGCGATCTTGATCAGGAGAAGATTTTAAGGGAGTTCGAGAATAAAGGGTAAGTAAAATCATATAATTTTATAAAATTTCTGAAATTTTTTATATATATTTTGCTTCTAAATCTATTAAGGATTATCTTTGACACCTTGCTATAAGTTCTGGAGTCGTTTTTAAACAATGCGCATCTTAACTCAGTTATCAACGCCTTTTTTAGTCACTGAGTCAGACAAGAGCTTTTAAATAAGGTATTACTTGCTATATGACCCCTTTTAAAAGTACCTAATGCGCAATTTTGAATAATTACGCCATAAAAATTAATTTCTTCGCTTTTTTAGTCAGTTATTCACAGTTGTCCATAATTTTGTGAGTTTTACAATGATTTATTTATCAAAAAAACTTCAAAGAGCCGTTCTCTTAGTTAAAAACAACAAAATTATGCAAAGATATGTAATCTATCGTACTTTTTTTAGATTAGCGAAGTCCATGGATACGTTTTACGACGATGACCGATCCGTTCACCTTTTACTGATCAGCTCGGATAAGCGAAGTTTGCAGCAATGCCATATACAACCTTACGAACGCGAGCCTCAGGTCGAAAATGTTCCTTTTTTCACACCTTACTGGAAGAAGAAAACCGCTATGACGGCAACGTCCAGTCACGACGAAAGACTTCAGGTATTTATTTTGTATTTTTGGAATATAAAAAATTGGTATCTGACATTGACATATGACATCTGGCAGGTACCTTAAAATAGTAGTGGTTCAGAGTAGTATCTTAAATATCTGCCATAGTACATTTAAAAACAACCGAATTTATTAAATTATGATACATATTGAAAAGATCTTTGTTGTCAGTCTTATTATTGATAAAACTTAGATCTTTGTTTATATGAATCATATTGTAATTTTGTTCTTTTTCCAAAATCTGTAGATTTTTAAAATCGAAAGAATGGCTATTTTCTAGAGAATGTTTGGCTAGGGCTGTTGTATTTAATCCATTGGTCTGTACACTATGTGTGCAAAAACTCTTCTATGTGGGTATTATTGTGTTTGCCCAATATATGTTGAATTACAGTCTTTACGATTTATTTTATAAATAACATTTGATTGATGATCTTTATTAAAACTATTAAAACTATTTTCCAGATAATTTTGATGATTTATGTCCAACATTAATATCATAGTTTGCCAACATTTTTGACATTTGTTCAGAAAATCCATTAGTGTATAGTAAGGATATATAGTATTTGCTTGAGTAACGCCCGATTTCATAATGACAACCTAAAGTACACTTTAACTAATGTTCACTTTACACTAAAGTGCACTTTAGTGTCGCACCCGGTTTCATAATACGTACTGCTCTTTTCATTAGTAAAAGTCAACTTTAGTGTTTAATTTGGTAGGTTGGTATCGTGTTTGTGTCAATTTTGCCGGGTTTTTGTCGAAATCTAAATAACCTCGTATATTTTTTGTATCTTAAATTGTTTGTAAAAGTTGTTAATTGTTTGTAAAGTTAAAGTTAGTTGTTAATTGTTTATAAAGTTAAAGTTAGTTTTTAATTGTATGTAAATTTAGTTATTAATTGTTTATAAAGTTAGTTGTTAATTGTTTATAAAGTTAGTTGTTAATTGTTTGTAAAGTTAGGTATTAAAAGTTAGTTGTTAATTGTTTGTAAAGTTAGTTGATAATTATGTCTGCAGCGAAAAGAAGTCGTTCTGTGAATTTCACGAAAGAGGAGGAACTTTTACTCATTGAGGAAGTCTCTAAGTATAAATCAATTATAGAATGTAAAACGACAAATAAACTAAATTGGAATGAGAAGGTTAGTTTTTATTATATATATTCTTGTTTATATATGAAAAATAAAATTTACATTTGTAGGAAAATGCTTGGAAAAAAATTGTGGCTAATTTTAATGCAAAAAATTTTCATGCCAGGACACTGGATCAAGTACGGGCCAAATATGATAATATTAAGAGCAAGGCAAGAAAGGAAGTTGCCAAGTTAAGATGCTACCAAGGGGGGACTGGTGGCGGCCCATGCACCAGTTTTAATTTAGGCACCAGTACAGATGCTGTACTGGATTTGATGAATTTAAAAACTGT